CCCGTCATCAGTCATAGCCACGACATGGAGGGCAGCAGCAGCAGGGTCAGGCTGTTGGTTGTGGCTCGTCAGATTAGTCACGGTCAGCTCCTTTTTGGGTTGGGGAATAGAAGTAACCCCGTCAACAGTCTCAGCCACAACATCGCCAGCAGTAGCTCGACGCCTATCCATTAGCCTCTTCTTCGCTGCTGCTGAACGGCGGGATGCCTTGGTGCGAGGCATCTACAGATGAACAGGGGAGAGAAAAAAAGAAAAATACAAGGCACACTTCCTTCCAACTTTACTTTGCAGTCATAATGTCAAATGCATATACATGGATGTGTTTTGTCAGGAGCGGTTCCAATGGTGGTCTTTTCAGACTGTACACCAACATCGTTCTGCCCTGTTTACACTCCTTATCCTATAATACATCTGTCTCACATGACTTGATTTTTTAAGACAGAGACAGAAAACACTACAACAGGTAAGTCACACTGCCAAACATCCATATTACACACATCGACAAGTTTTGCCTCAACACTAACTGACCTAAATGTTTGTCACATGTATGCCAATTTCTCCTGTCACTCAAATACAAATTTATTGAAAGACCTACAGGATTCCTCATCCCATCGATACAAATACACTTTGGCTGCTTAACATTAGTATCGTGGCCATTTCTCATATTGTGTGACAGCTTCTCTGTCACTACACATCCAATGTCTATGCAACACACAATGGCACAGCTGTTTCATGTTAAGCAGTAAGATAATTACCATTAGAATACTACATTTCTACTGCTATAGCAAATCTATGCAGTTAAATAGTATGACATGAACAAGCAATGCAGGGTTCTCCAAGTGGACAAAGCATACCGCCTATCACTTTGTCTTCTCGAGTGTGTTAGTCCACCAGAAATCTGCAGAGAAAAAAAGACAACCAAGTTTCTTTGCGTCAACATTTCCCAACAGTCATCTTTGTTGAAAACATGTAGACTTGATATGCCTTTTAAGGTCATTCAAGCTGATTGACCTAAGCTAAAACAATTGGTGATAAAGACATTGGCTTCAAAATATTCACCTTTGATGCGACAGCTCTTCAAAGTCTACAAAGACAACATGCATCAGTTAATGACTGACGTGCACTTATTGTACAAGCATTTCATTAGTATACGCAGCAGTGTGATAAACTTCCCATACAGAAACATTTTCCACTGTAACAATCATAGCCGTGTGGTTGGTATGAACTTTATCAACTTGCATAACTAGTAATAAAAATAAAAAAAGGATAAATTAGGTTCTCAGTTTAAGATCCAGCCACAGCAGTCAAATTGACAAAAGTGCAGTGAACAAACATGGCTGGGACGTTATGCAGCCACACAGATTTGTTTCATGCTGGTTAGGGTTGCACGATATTGCAGGGGAAAGAAAAAAAAAACACACATTACAATATTTATTCTTTCTGCGATGTATATTGCGACATTACGATTTAAAAAAAATCTAATTAGTTCAACAGCTCTTTTGGTATGATTAACCATTATAGAAAGATTGAACTGATTTTGCCCAAATATAATGGTAATAACCAAATCAGTACTAAAAGCATGAGCATTAAACTAAGGAAGCTTATTGCATATAGGAGTTAACATAAGTGACAAATTAGATCAAACAGAACATTTTAATGTCCAATTATACCTTTTTTATAGCCACGGTGAACATAAGGGTCATTCCATGTCAAATCATCAGACTGTCGGATCTTGCCATCACGGATTTCAACTACACTTGGCATAGTGATTTGGTCAGATAATCAAGTCATGAAACTGAAATTGGGCATGTCTTGGATCAATATTGAGGGACACAGTTTTTAGTTCGCTCTTTGCTCTCTGTATTGTGCATGGCGGAGTTCTGCTCTGATGCGCACGCACAGAGACATACGTGGACATACATGAGCACATTCCCACCAGCGGACAGAGAGCACACATTGGAAAATATGTTGCATCAACCACCTGAAAAGCAGACAAACATATCTCAAAATAAATGTTCTGGGAATTAGTTCAGTTGTTATATTGACTGCTGTCCATGAACCCCATGAATCTTGACGGTGTCCGCCCCCCCCAAAACCTAACAGCATTGTGAGGAATTGTGGATTTGATACGATTACTTATCTGAAATGTGTATCTCAGCAATAACTGAAAAAACAAATTTTCCGGAGATGTTCATGACGTTATGAGCTAACTGTAGTAAAAAAAAAAAATCATCAATTGTGAAATAGAAATTCAACACCAAAAAAACCTAACATTTTAATCAGTTATTACATAGCAATTATTCATATGGTGATGGCATAGAAATTTGTTCAATCTATAGAGCTGGACAATAGCTTTAAAACAATACGAGTACTATTTCTATGCAGCTTACATTAAGGTAAATATATGCAGTCATACTCCACCCCCCACCCCCAAAAAAAGGTAAAACTGTTTGCTTAAATCTCCCTCCCTCTGATCTAAGACACGCTTCATTTCAGTTTCACGAGCTACTCATCTGACCAAATCAGCATTCATTACACTCCGTGATGAGGTGGTCCAAAACTGATGATTTGACATAGAATGACCAATAACAAACAATACACAACTTAAAAATACAAACTTAAAAATTATCACCAAATAATGACCATTGTTCCACACACTTAAATTAACTTTTACATATGTTCACTTTGGAAAACTTACTTGCAAAACAAGCAACCAGTATGTCTCACATAAACAATACAGACGTTTAGCATGCTAATTTCAGAAATTGTGCGCTTTTGGCATGCTGCAGACGACAAAACTCTCCTTAGTTTCAAATGCCGAATGAGAAGTTAATGAAACTGCCATTTTCTGAAAACCAGTCTATTTCCACTCATGTCTATATGCAAGTCTTTATGCACTTCAATAAATACAGATATTTCAAAAGCAGGCTAACGTCGACATGTCTGCATTGAGTACTACTTTCTCTCAAAGTAAAAATACCACACAAAAAAAACTTGACTGTAAGATGCGTTTACTGTCACAAACCAACAACCAACAACTTGTACCAAGAATGCGTATCTAACACATATTTCCCAACGGTAGTCGCTTATGCATCTCAGCAACTATCGCATTTATAAATCTACCACTGATAGGGTGACCACGCAATCCATGTCATGAGGGACACTACAAGCTATGACAGGATTTGCAAACTACCATTCTAACCATTTCAATTAAAAAGACCTGGATCTCAGTTAAGCACCGAGTTCTTGCTGTGTGTTGATTGGTCAGTCTCCTATAATCATGCATGTGTCACTAATGTTAAAGTGAAACAGCTGGATGAGTCAATCAATCAAAGAAACCAACTAGTAAAAGTACAAGACAAACCAAACAGTTTAGCCGAGTAGGGGGAGCCTTTCATTAAAGTAGTTAGTAGGATACATGTAGGGTGACCACCTAATCCATGTCAGGAGAGAAAGTAGGAGCCAATTCAGGTTTTAAAAACTACTTTAATATAATACATCTACCGTAATTATAAATGTTAAAAACATAAAACTACGACATGCCACAGACACACAGCGTTTAAAACACACTCTGTGCTTCTGAACCAAAATTAATTTTGATCACTTGCACGTGATTTACTGCTGCCAAATCCTTATCGGCTGCATTACAAAATATATTACTTTAAAACATAGGCCTATTTGAACGGGGATAATGTAAAGCGCCTTCAGACAATTTAATGTTCTGACTGTGCACTATACAAACAAAATTGAACTGAATAAAAGTATATTTTACTATAAGACCATATATGTCAACATGCTTAGGAAAAACAAGACACCTAAAATGGCTGCCACAGCTCTTCGTGGTGCATTTAACACCACAGAAACAAATGCTTACGTTAGTGCTCAAACAATATTGCCTAAGGCCGAACTAAAAATATTTTTTAAAAACCTTACCACAAAATAAACCACCTACAATTAAAAAACAGCAAAGCATCAACAAACGAATAAAAACATATCATTACACATATGTAGCTTCTTACCTGTTGCAAGACTAGAAGTCAAATGTGAGGCAGGAGCCTTCCTATGACTGAGACCTGGGAGTGGTCACGTACGTCAGCCAATCAAAACCGTAAATACAGCTCCCTGCCTATTTGTCAACCTACCTCAGAGAAACCAAGAAACAAAATGGCCGCCACTAAAACACCTCTTCACAGCTATTCTGAATTAAAGCTTAATCAGCTTACCACTATATGAAGTTATTTTTGTCTGAAAACAGCTTTTTCCGTTAACCTCCTAGGATTTTCAGCAAACCTACATACATCATTTGTCCTTCAAATCAGAAGATAGTCCTTTTAAAGATTTAGAGAAAAAAATGAAACTTTTGGTAAGGTATGGCCACCAGCCACACCCTGACTATACTGGTGCCACATCCTTTTCAATCAGACAGCTAAATCTCATGCACGCTTCAGCCAATCATTTCCAAAAATCTATCACTGATGAAAGGCTGTACCGCAGAGAGACCCTGCAAATTTCGTGTCAATAGGTCAAACGGGAGCGCTATAGCCACTGTCCATATATGTCTAAAACCCACTTAGTCTAATTCAGCTATAATGAGTTACCAGATCAGGTGTGAAGGTGTCTACTGATCTCAGTCGTCTTACCCACAGCAGCGGGTGGCTCAGTGTGCTAATCCTGTGTGCCTGTAATCAGAGGGTCGCCGGTTCGAACCCAGCTTAGGTTGGTATTTCAGCTAGGTATCATGATGTGTACTCTGTGATGTTGACTGGCCTGTTACACCTGCACTAAAAGCATCTCCATCATAATGTCTGCCTACTACTGAGATCATCATGCTCTGTCCTACATCTCATATCATGTTATGGCAGTCCAATTCTGTCTGACTTTCTACTACCCTGGCCGCCGGTTCTCTGCTGTTATTCCTCTACTGTCCTACCAGTCCGATCGTCCTGCGCTTTGGACCCTTTCGTAACTGCTTGCAGTTTCTAGTTAAGGGTCCAAAGCACGAAGTGCTATGGAACCTTATTGTTTTTCTTAGGATTATTATTATTATTTTTCTGCCCTAAAACTGAATGCCCAGCTTAAACCGTAAGTCCTAGGCTGACCAAACTTGGTAAGATGGTTGCAATTCCTACCCACTACTCAGGTTGTCCAACCCGTCCGACTCACCCAGAGGGGGGCGCCGTAGCACCCCCCAACACATTTTGGATGATATCTCCTGTCCTGTTTGACCTACAACCGAAATTCTTTTTTCT